TCTCTCTCTCTCTCTCTCTCTCTCTCTCTCTCTCTCTCTCTCTCTCTCTGTCTGTCTATCTAGATGAATGAAAAGCTTTGAAGGGGAGGAAAGGAGTCCGTATCGATTGGCCCTCTGAAAGATTCAGCACAAGCAGCCAGACCCCCGCCGCATTGTGAACACACCTCCCACCTCTATCACACCGGACAAATCAATAACTCCCAACTCGAAGCGGCCCAGGAGTGAGTTTGGTGAAGAGGGATCGAGGAAGGAAGAAAGAGGAGGAGGAGGAAAGAGGAGAGAGCTAGGATGGCGTCCTGCTGAAGAGGTGGGAGCCATGACAGAACGACCACATCAGCCTCCTCAGATAAATCTGGAGAATGTTTGGAAAGAAGTCAGGATCTGGACAGTTTCATGTCTGACCTTCTTGAGTAAAAAAGCAAATAAAAAATAGATTTATGTGCATGCTTCAGAAAAAAGCTTTATAGAGATAATGAAACGACCGAATGGGCATCTTAAGCCAGACTGCCATCCAGTTTACTGTGATGTGCAAGAATGCAGGACCAAGTGCCATGTCCAGGGACATGAAAAAATCCTTTCTTTCTTGGCAGTCGAGTCTTATTCAAAACTCCAAGTTCTCTTCTTTTGTCTAATGAATGTTTTGCCTTTAATCTCTCAGGTTATTCTGACTAAAACCATCGAGTCGCCACAGTGCAGCTGCTGAATCTTCTCAAACTTTTAAGGTTCATTTTCTCTCCTCCAAATGACCTACGACGGCATATTAGGGCCACGTTGCAGATGAAAAAAAAGAGGAGCAAATCTTCGAGAAAAAAAACAGGAAATTCTCTTATTTTGAAAAGTCGCAAATTAATGAGAAAAAATCTGAAAATTCCGTTATTAAAGGGAGAAATTTGCAACATTTAAACTAGATATTTTCTGACATGGTAAAGTTAGAAATTTACAAGAAAAAAACTCGTAAATTTATGAGAGAAAACTCTGAAGTTTTCAGGAATGGCTGAAGGGCGATTCCACCTGTTTGCACAACCTTGAACACCTTTTATCCACTCTAGTTTAAAAACTAAAACACACAGAGACTTCAAACCTGGACTAGATTATTCTACACTGATTGCAGAATGTTTAAAACCAAGTGTTTGATTTGTGAAACATGCATTTGATATGTGAAGCTTAAGGAAATACGGTGATTTCGGCACTTTTTTTGCATCCAGTTTGTTCAGGTGTGGATTCATAAGACAGAGACGAGTCGGACTGTGCTGGTGGGAGGATTAGCACTTAATCCAGTGTTAATGAGGACGTCTCAGCTCCCGATCTCTTCCTCAATCAATGCAAAGAGCTAATAAGAGCCGAGCACTTACCGGATTATCYGGAGATCACAGCGGGTGGAGGACGTCAGGTTTGAGACAAAGGTCTCAGAGACAAAAAATAAATAAATAAATCCTAAAATTTAACGCAGTAAGCTCAGGGGAGTTTTTCTCTTCATAAAATACCATCATACCAACACATACCTTCTAATTAAATGATAGGAAAGACCATATATGGACAGGAAGTGACAGTCTGAGAGACGAAGAGGGTTTGTGCAAACATCTCTGTCTTTGTTGTCCGTTGCAGATAGATGTGTCAACTCCCCTGAAAGCCCCCGATCCTCAGGCGAGAGGGGGAGATGGGGAAGTGTGTGCTGATGGCGCCTTGATCAAGTCTTAATCTAGGGAATTGCACCCCCACACACACACACGTCCCACTTTGGCCTGATCTATGCAAACAGTATTTCTGCATGGCAAACAGCTTCCTCCTCTCTCATGTGAAATGAAGACACAGGCTGTCACAAACTGAAGAAAACCAAAGAATGAGCAGAGGAAGAAGCTTATCTGCTCCAGATATCTTATGCTGGGCTCACAGAGTACATTGCAAATGTTTTAAATCCCCAATCAAAGCAAACAGTTTGACATGTTTGAACCTTTCATCGTGGTGTYACATGTGTTTATGAGATAAATAGAYAGTAGACCTGAGAGATGCCTTGACCTTCAGCTGATTTTTGGTTGTTTGTCAGGTTTTTAGCTCTTTCAGAATCCCCTTGTTGGAGCTAATATACTGTTGTTTCCATTAAACTGGGATATCTTTATCATTAAAGACACAAAAATGTGTAAAAACATGTAAAATTGTACTTGGAAGTTTACTGAATTGGTACTTAGGGTGCATAGGGAAAGAGGGGGAAATGAAGAAAAGGAAACAGAAAGAGAAGGAGYATGAGAAAAATGAGAAAACTGAAAATAAAAAAGAGATGGAGACGAAAATAAAAGAAGTGGAGAGCCAGAGAGGGAGCCAGCAGCTGGGTTAAAATTCTTTCAGATCAGGTAGACATAATAGGCTTCGTTAATATTCATAGTTTCCTCAGGTACAGCGAAGGTTAAATTTTACTCACTTTTCAACTCTCATTATTAATACATGACGGCAATAAGAATATTCAAAGCGGACGGGTGACCAAAGGTTGATGAGAACCTTACCTTTCCTCTGACATTTAAACACATTTCCATTTCAGGGCCCCTTCCTCTCAATCGCACCCACCAGAATAAATTGTTGGCTAATCATGAGTCACTCAGAACATCCCGTCTGAATGATGATCACCGCGCGCACACACACACACACACACACACACACACACACACACAC